ATACAGGAATGCCCAGCGCTGTCCTGCGGCTGGGCAGTCATTCCCACAGTCTGCACAGCTTGTCTGTCAGCAGGTGGGTGATGGCCACCCTGTACTCCCACCCCAAGGTGGGCCCAACCATGACTTCTTGGATTTCATTGTCTTTCTCTCTGGAAAGCTGTGGAAGAAAACTGGGAAACGACTCCCTGATGGGCAGGTCAGTCAAGCCATTACACACACATACACACACACACACACAGAGTCACGAAGATAAGGGGGAAGGGAATGTTGAAATAGTTGGCCACTCCGCTCTAATTTTCCACACATTTTCTGTCTGTTATTGATTATGGTTTGACAGGAAAGCTTAAACACGACAAAAACAGAGGAGCGTTCGAGAGGAGCTGGAGAGAGAGAAAAATCTATCCTCATCCAGAGAGAGGCACCCCCACCTCAGAGGGCAGCACTTTGTTTACAGAGGAAAGCAAGCTGTAGCTCCCCCCCCCCCCCGTGCTTCAGAACAAAGGCTGATCTGGGGAGGGAGGTTCCTCAGAAGCCGCGTGGTGTGGATGACTTACCTGTGTCTTCAGGCCGGCAGTCCAGCATCTTTCCCCCACTCGGAGCCATCCTCCAACCCTTGCTTGCTGTATTCCAGATGGTCCCTGGTTCTCTTCCCTCACAGAATGAGGTGCCAGACTGAGCCTCCTAGAAGCCTGGACCTGAGCGAGCGTCACTGCTCACAGAGATCAAAGCAGCCTCTACACATTGAGTCACACGTAGACTCACATGCTTCTGTCACTGCAAAGGAAATACCCTGAACCTGCATGAACTTGTAAGACTTTGTTAGGCTGAGGCAGCCTGTTGTCCCATGTGATTCCAAAGCAGTCAGTCTCCCTTAAAGACAAGGCTTCTAGCACCTGGTGGTACTTAAAACGCCTCACGTGGGGTTGGAGATGCAGATCAGCTGTTAAGAGCACTCGCTGCTCTTCTAGAGGACCCAGGTTCACTTCTGTCCATAAATCCAGTTCCAGGGGATCTGACGCCTCTTCTGACCTCCGAGTGCACTGCATGCACGCGGTATTACAGACATACGTGCAGACACCCATGCACATAAAACAAAATGAATAAATCTAAGAAAACAAACCTCTTGACAAGAACATAAACCCTTCTTAAAATACAGATTGCAGCTGGGTAGGTCTGGGGTGAGACTTGGGTCCACTACCAGGGTTTCTACCCCAGAAGCCGTAGGTGCTATAGTAGGTAGAATGTATGAGTAAGTACGCTGTAGAAATGATGGAAGTCTGTTCTCCTGTAGCAAGCACCCAAGCCAGCAGCAGCAGCTGAGGATACAGGACCCAGCTGTTACCAGTGTAGAGGCACAAGCCCCTCCGAGATCTACTCCATCCATGTCAACATCTGACCAAGGTCACCAGGTGATTCTCACAGGTGTTAACTTGAAAAGGAGATGAAAGAGTTTAAGGTCAAGGTCACAGGGCTGTTACTGCCTCTTGGGGGTAGCAAGATTGTGTGTGTGCATGTGCGCATGCACACATGTCTGCATGCAAATGAGTGATTTTAATCTCAGAAGCCACACTAATTAGAAAGAGAATAAAACCCACTTAGCGAGGTACCAACCTCTTCAGTCCTCCACTCTCCTCTACTAGTCACTAGGGACAAGAACTGAGCCAAGGCTTTGTGTAAGGACCAAGGTGCCACACATCTCTGTTCTCAACACTTTGGGTAGCACCAGGCAAACTGATATGTGGGCCTTGCTAAGCCCAATGGACGCTGCTGCTCAAGAGACGGGTGATTTATACAGTACAGGGGGATCAATCAAGCCTAGGGCCCTCAGCGGGGTGGGACCACGTCTACAGATTACTGTGGCTTCAGGTGACAAGTCTAGCTTTTGCTGGTGTTTAGGGATAACAGAAAAGCAGGGAAAGTGGGTTATTACTCATGCTACAACCTCGGGATCTTGCAGCCCACAATCTAAAGTGAGGATAATTTCATCCACGTTAGCTGACAATGATGGGGGCTGAGAAGATGACTCAGTGGGTAAAGGGCATACCACACTAGTGTGAGGACTCAGTCACTGAGACTTGATGGACAGCTAGGCTAGCCAACTGGTAAGCTCCAGGTTCAGTGAGAGACCTTGTCTCATAATTAAGGTCAGAATGATCGAAGAAGACACCTGATATTGACCTTTGACCTCCATAAACATGCACATACAGGTATATATA